CAACATTACCAGGGCTGGATGTTTCTCAGCATCCAATGTAACTGCATCAGGAACAAAACACACCTACATGCTGGTTAATTATTTGGTGAATGTAATTAAATCTGGGACATAAATGATAGTTTGAATGATAACTAAAAATGGGATGTGTTGTTTTAGGGGTATAAGTCAATCAGGTTTTCAGTTCTGAGTGAGGAATTGAGTCAGTAGAACTAAATTACTTACTGAAAACTTCATTTATAACCAAAAGTTTCCTGTAGTCATATAGAAAAGTTGCAATTAGTTGTGTAGCTTTTACAAGTGGGAAACAAGTCTATTGATACAGTAAGATGTTGCTTTACATCTAGAGAAGCTTTGTAATTCCTTCAGGTGGGTGAGAACATTTGTCAGGGCATCTCCAGGGCTACAGTGAGTAACCACAAAGATGTTTGGTTACAAGTAATGTAATTCCTTCCAAGAAGTTTCTTGACTGTGCTTTTAGAAATTGGCACAGGAAATACGTTTGCAAGGACTACAGACAAGGGGGTTTCCTGCCTGCAGGCTCTCCTGGTGGGATCTCATAGTAACTCCTCTGTTTCTGAGAGTAGGCGAAGAGAGCAATGGTTTACATAATTGGCTTTTTCTGGACAGTTGATGCCAACTCTTAATTGTGATAATTTTTTGTTCTATATCTCATGACTTTAAAAACCAGAGGATACAGAACTCAACTCAATTGTTCTACAGGTCACTCAGCAAGCTGTTCCCTCAATGTCCCACCCATGCTTCTGCTTTCCGTCTCTTCTATGGCTGTTCTTCTGCCAAAGACCCTTACATGGTGTTCTCACTGTAAAACTACAGATTTCATGGATATTTCCTTTCTTATCCCCTTCCTAATACCTCTAAAAATATATCCATGCCTCTTCTACTTCCCATGTTTCATTGAAATTCATCTCATTTCTATTGGAGAAATTCCTTAATTCAGCATCTTCTCTTGTCATGTTTCTCAAGAAAGCGAATTTTAGAATACATAGTTGCTTTCCTTTCTTAAGAGTGTGCTATGACCACCTTTCTGCAAACATAAAACTGAAGGTCTTTCCTACTGAGTTGTTTTCAAGTTTTTTATTAAGTCATCTTCAAAAAAAATTCACTTTTTTAAAGCAATTGACATTTAGGGGGGGAAAAGCTTTCAGAATCTTTCAAATTCCATTTGTGCTTTACTTTACCACCTTACTTGAACTATCTTCCCACTCTGGCAAATGAGAAACACTGGTATATGCATAAAAAACTACTCTTTATATGGAAACATCATCACCTTGTGGACTTGCAGCCTTCTGCTGCCAAAGAACCACCTTGTGTTCCATCCATAAAGGATCCTGGTTTTCAGATTAATGCCCTACTTTTCAATGATTCCTCTTTAAAAGTTATTTTGTTGCTTTCTTGTCTAGTTCTGTAAGCTTATTAATTTAAGTCTTACCAATATGTAAGTTTTGTTTTTAAAGGTTTGCAAAATTTGCATCACACTAGAATTGTGATATAGAGAGAAAGCATAGCTCATTTATGGGACCATCCCCTGGGTGACCTCAAGTTCTAGTTTGATTGAAATGGTCCCTGTTTATACAAGTTGTCCTGGCATCTTATCTAGCTTAGACTTTATCTTAGATTTTTTAAGATTTCAAGTGTGATGTATTATGAATAGTTGTACTAGAATAATCTAGGGTCAGTGAACAGGCAGTGCTTTAAGCTTCTGTCATAGTTTCCTCAAGGTGTGTGAGATGTGAGGGCAATGAGTAGCATCTTCTCTTAAGGGGCATTGAGATCTGTAGGGAAACCAACACCACTCTCTTCTCCCCAAGCCTTTAAGGACACAATGTAACTAGCACCTTCCTTTCAAAACAGTATGCACTGTCAATCAATGGTTTAAAAGGCAGATGCTTGGACAAGGGTGGCAGAGATGGCTAACTCCTTCCAAGGTCAAGTGGATATGGGAGAAGTGCTGGAAGCTTCATCTCCTACCAGCACATCAGTGCATCAGAACATGGCTGGGTTGGCCAACAGGATCAGCGGAGGGCACTGGAAGTATAGGTGAGGGTTTGCCTCCCATAGTGGAAATCAAATTTACCAAAGAGCTAAAATATCAATGTTTTATCAATTCATCAAATGCTTTCAGCAGAAAACAAATTAATGTATTTTCAAATATGGTTTGGTGTTTTAAATCCATCATGGAATCAAAATAAAGCTTTAGATACTCATCTTGTCCAAGCTAAACCTTCTGATATTACCTTATATAATGGGTGATTCAGCTAAGAAGTAAATATTAAAGATAAAATTATTTTTTTGTTGTTATAACAAACACAAATTTTGGTGGAGGACAGTATTAGAGATTTTTTTTAAAAGCATAACATTCTTATTAAACTAGGAAATTTGTGAAGCAAAAATGTATTTGGAATTCAAGTGCACAAGTAATTTATAATTGCCTGCCAATAAAGCTGCAATGCTTTACCAATGAAAATAGAAACTATAGTTTTTAAAATTTATATTTATATATGTATACATACACATACCACACACACTAGGGTAAATAAACTAGAATGTTCTTCCCATCTTTTGAATATTATGAGTAATGCTGTTATAAACATTTATACACAAATAATTTTTGGGTAGACATGTTTTCATTTCTCTTGGGCGTATGCCTAAAAGTAGAATTGTTGGATCATATAAGTGGCTGTACCATTTTATAGTCCCAACAACAGTAGATGAGAACTGCAATTTCTCCACATCCTCACCAACAGTTGTTATTATCTGATTTTTTTATTCTAGCTACCTTAGTGGGCATAAAGTAGTACCTCATTGTGGTTTTTATTTGCATTTCCCTGAGAATATTTTTGTAATGAAATTGATGTTGAAAACAAGCAGAAAGAACTTCAGGATGACAAAATACATTTTCTCTTTTCTGCTTCTTTTCATCAATCAGAGTTAAGAACATTTCAGCTTTTAAAGAACCATTTTGTAAATTAATCTAAATTTCCTGTAGTGGTTGTGAGCATTTTTACAAATGTGTCTTCTACATTTTAGTCGCACTGCATTCAAGATCAGTTGAAAAATTTAAATCAAATCATTCAACAAGACACCACAAAAATCATCTTTTGAAGCTTTTAGTAAATGGCAATAATGGAAAGCTTATGAAAAGGAGAACATTGAAATTTATGCTCACAAAAGCAAGAGGAGAGGACAAATTCAATAATGAGAGTTCAAATATTATACAAGATTTAATGTTTCAATTTCATAATTTCCTTTTGAAATATCTCAACTTGAGAAAAGACTGTCTTGACAGAGCTCCTGTTTATAACTGGGTAAATTTGTATTCTGCACCAGAATGAAAAGAAATTGATTGGTGAGAAGGCCTCAAAATTTTGCAGCATTTATATTTGGTGAAAAGAATCATAACTATATACCATTTATGTTTTTTGCCTTGCAAAATTTTTTGGCAAAAGAAAAGATGCCCTGAATGGAGATAAAATAATAGTACCAGGTTAAAAGAAATGGACATAAAATAGTTATCTTTATATAAATAAATAATTTTACTTCAAATATAATTTCCCAATTGAATCATTTTATTCACAAATGTATACATTTATAATTTTGTTTATTTTTAACACCCCTTTTAATTTCCAGAAGTGTCCTGTAAGTGATGTGCTCATTCAACTTTTAATCAATGTGGTCTTCCTTATAAATTCCCACCCATTGGTCAGCAGGTTGAAGGAGCCAATTATCGATTACATATCTAATCTGATGTATTTTTAGTCCAATCTGGCCATTACATGGTCCCTTTAGGCACTGCTCATTTCCTCTGGAAAAATCTTTTTGGTATCCCAGATTAACACTCCTCTCTCACTGCTCCTCTCTTTAAAGTAGTGCTCCGGTTATTTGTGTGACCTGGTAGAAAAAGGTTGGGCTTCAGGCCCCTCTGGTCTCCTGGGAGATTTCCTGGAAATGGTTCCTTGCCAACTGGCTGTTGTGTGCCCCACAGGACTTCATAGCTCATGTTCTTACGGTGATCTTATGAAACTCTGATTGACTCAGCCTAATCTCACTTTTCTCCAATGTAGGTAAAAGGGTAGAGCAGGTCAGAGATTGACAAGTGGTTGCAGCTAGAGTAGGTCAAGTCTTCAATAGAATTCTAGGCTAATTCATCTCTAAATCACATCTGTAAATCTTGAATTGAGCATATGATACAATATTCTCTTACTGTGCATGTACACACACACACACAGAGTTCAGTGTCCCTAGAAGGCTATGTCCCTGTTATTGGTATGCTATAATGTAAAGCTTGGTATAAAGTAGTTAATGCTTTTAGTGGACTACCAAGAAAAAAAAGGAAAGAAGAAATAAACAAAGATTATAAGATTAGCTGGGATTATTAGGATTGGAAAATAAAGTTGGAGGCTGTGATCAAAACAGAAAGAAAGTAGAACGAGTATTACCAATAATAGTGATTCCCTACAGAGTCTGAGACATGCACCATCCTACCAGAGATGAAAGCTTCTTTGTAAAAGGCAGACACCTATATATTAGGAATGGCTTGAAGACAGAAGGTATGAATATAAATTATGTGACTTCTCAAAGTCTTTCTAATGATGCAATAAATATTCTTAAGAAAAAAAAATTGATTCTGGCAACAAGACAAGAAGGTATAGCTTTTGAAACATGGCAAAAGGGTCTACCCTGTATGTCTAAGGACAAACACATTATTTAAAATCTAATGTTATTTAATGTTGCTTCATTTTTCACCATAGCCAATAACAACTGTGATTTTTTCAGTCCCTAAGATACAAAGCTCTTTATGTGTTTCTTAAAATTTCCCCATATTTTTGAACACTGATAATATTTTCAGCAACCCTTTGTATTAAATACACATTTTTCCATTTTGTGGTAGACATATTTTTGTTAATGTTTTTTGAAACACCTGATAGTGCGTGTGCTTTTATTTACACATTTATTCATATTGGGCGATGTTATATTTTCAGTTGATTTCATAGGTGGACTTGATGCACACTCCTACCACCAGGATCATGTTGAGTTAAAGCCTGTTAACCTGTAAGTAAAGGTGTGATGAGGTGGAAAATATTAATCCTTCTAACATGGTCAAAACTAACCAAATACAAAATAATGTGAACCTGTTACTACTAATCATTGGTTTAATTTTCCACTCATATTTAAAACACACCTTTCACATGTAACCTGACATCACCCTCATTATTATTCATTCCAAAAAGGATTTGAAGTAGGCAGCATGGTTTGTGTTTCTAAAATGACATTTTTATTTTATTTTTCTTATCAGTAGTTGATTGTCAAATTGGAAAAAAGGGTGGGGTAGTATTAAGTCTACAAAGAGAGACTAAATATGTGTCGGGGTAGCATAGCAGAGGGAAAAGGGGAGAAAGACTAAGTTAGACTCCAGGCTTTACATGTGTGGTCTCAGAAAAATCCCTTGATCTACGACGTGGTTCTCTCACCTGCAATATGCGGAGGAGGGAGGGCAGGTTGCCTATGTAAAGTGGCCTATGTTTTGACTAAGAGTCCCTAGAGGATATGGAAGGAAGTCAACAACTACAAAAAAAAACACCCTACAACTGGACAGATTTGGGTTGAGTATAAGGAAGAATCATGGTCAGCAGCCTGATAAAATACTAGAAAATAAGAAAAGGGAAACCATAACTCCCTTCTCAGAAAACTCTAAGTAGCAAATAGGCAATGGTATAAAATAATAGCTACCATGTGCTAAGCACTTTGTATATATTATCTCACTTGATTCTCATAAAAACATTGTAATGTACGAATTCATTGTCCCACTGCATAATGAAGGAAATAGGGTCATCAAGGTTAGACCACTTTCCCGAAGTCCCACTAGTAAGTGGTGGGGCTGCGATCTTTTCTGGCTGATGAAGTGTCACCATGCCTGACACTGTGGACTCGCTCAGATGACCTTCCTAGTCTTTCGGCCCAATGTGCTGTAATTCCACGGGGGTAGGGGAAATCATGGAAAATAGTCACTGGTGTAAGAAACGCATATGAAAACCTCCATCTGCAGTGGCCCCTGCCCAGACCTCCAAGCCCCACCCAGCTTCTTTTGGGACTGAAGCCCTGAGAAGCCTGCTCTGGCTCCTCTGCCTTCCCAGATTAATTTAACCTGGCAGAATGATCTAAAGGAAACAAAGCTCACAGGTTATACATAGCAGCACTCTGCCTGCTGCATGATAGATGCTTAAATAAATGTTGGTTTCTTAAAGCAAATCCAGTTTGGGAAAACATTCACCCTCCATAGCACTCCGGGACTAAGCAGTCACCACCTCACTACTCTTGGTGCTGTGTGCACTCCAAAAGTTGATGTTTGTGGATTTGGGGAACTTGCCAGGGATTATGACAATAATCAAGATGATCCGGGCTTTGGAAATGAGAAAACAGCTGAAACAATGCCTAGTGGTGACAAGGGGGTCTTAAGTGTGTGTGTGTGTGTGTGTGTGTGTGTGTGTGTGTGTGTGTGTGTGTTATGTAATAAGGTGATGAATGATTTCTTTCCTCATCACAGTGAAAAAAAAATCCAGCAGAGAAAGTGCAATGTGCAAAATGTTAGATGTAAGAAAGATCTTTCTGTTAAGGAAAGTTATTAAAAACTGTAACTGGTTGATGATGACAATGGAATCTCCTTTCTTGAATGACACCTGGGTATCCGCATATCTCAAAGACTTTCTCTGGCCTGGCCCAGAGGCAAGTGACTTCCATCTATGCTCCTTAATGTCCCTTCCATTTCAATGAATCAGGAACATGTGAAACATCCTTGTAAGAAAACCTAAAAGGCTCTAATCAACTCCACTCCTTCCTCAAAGAGTTTTCTCAACTATCCTGTTCACTGCTGACCTTTTACGTCTTCTTAGCTGAATGTAGCATAAACTACAGGCTGCAGGGAGCAATAAACCAAGTGGCTACTTGGACAGGTTATGCATATTACTACGTTAGAGGAATGTGAAAAAGCCTTTCAGCCAGGAAGGCAGCAGGAATCTGAAAGATCAAACTAAACCTGAATTAAAATTGTTGTGCATGAAACAATTTACAGGCTCAGTATGTGCGCTCCCCGCCAGTGGGCAGGTACTGCTGAGTTTATCTAGTGGGCAGGAATCCACCTGTTTGATTTCCTTTAATGAGACCTTTATAGGGGCTTCTGTTGCACCTAGCTCAGGGATGACACATCACCATCCAGCAACAGGTTGGACAAAAAGCCAATTTCTATACCAGTCATTGGAGAGGTATAGAAACAGGTTGGAGAAAAAGCCAATTTCTATACCAATCTTAGAGAGGGGAGTGAATGCTGGTTTTTGCTTTCATTAATTCTCTTTAATCTGTATGGAATACAAACTAGCTTTTATGAGGAAGCCACTTTATTAAGAGGATCAGGAGACTCCTTAGCATATTCTTACCCAGGCACATACATGTGGAAGGTAGCCTTCAACTCTGGCTGGGTTACTACTAGACAGTCCCTGCACAGGAAACACTGCAGATTTGTACAGGAGGCCTCCATTCTTGTGTTTGAGTGTGTCATTGCTTGTAACCATAACATGTACCTTTCTGGTGCCCACAGTCAAATTGTTTGTGAGTGTGTATATTGGGGGTGATGTGATGGGAGGCAGTTCACATATAGATTTGGTCTTTCATGCTTTGCGATTTTTTAAAGTAATGATATCAAACTAACTGATTAAATTGATTTCCTTCCATTTGCAATTATTTATTGATTACTTACCATGTACACACTAAGCTCTGTTTTGAGTGCTGGAGATATAAAGATGAGTAATACTTGAGCTTTCTCCTCCAGCAGCCAATAATCTAGGAGAGGAAACCTGTATAGAAATAAGTAGATAGAGAACAATATCCTCAAGGTAATATTTTTGCAGAAGAGGGAACCATCACTTTTCACTTGGGGTTGGTGGTAAGGGGTGGGTTGAGTTGAGAGCTGACTTTGGAAAAACAAGGGCTAGTTTATCAAAAGCAGCAGAAGAAAATGGCTGTCCCCTGAATGGAAGCTGATTTGTCAGCCATTCTACAACAGATGAAGCTGAAGTTTGTGATCATCCAACCTGATGTTCACCGTAGTTCCACATAAACTGAGCCAACCTGAGGGAACAGATGTTAAGCCAAGCAGGATGGCTCTTGATGGCTGTGGGCAGGATGCTCTGAGATCCTCAGCAGACATTGCTTTGCCATCTAAACACCATCCACCCCTCTTTATGCATAAAGCTATAGAGATGTTTCCAATGTTTGTCATCTGGGTCTGGCTGGGTATATGTGACACACGGGTCAGGAGCAGCCTGTGCTGAGGGCCACCATCTTGCCATAGTCGCCAGAGAGGGGGTTGTAACTCCCAACATAAGTACCACCTGGATCTCTGCCAGGATGTCCTTCATTGCTGCTATGCACACTGGTACCACCTTTCACAAGGGGAAAGAGGAAGGCTCTTGTTATTAGATCAGTGATGACTTTGAAGAGGACACGACCACAGCAGCTTATCACTGTGGTAGCAGTACCACCAAGGCGAGAGGGCAAACCAAAGCAGATTTACCTCTCAGGGGAAAAACAGCATGCACCCACACAGCCATAAAAGGGATATGGTTTCAGAGACCATCATAGTGAGCAATTAAATTACTTTAAAATTGGTCAAAATCATCAAAATGGTTAGCTACTGGGAGTGGGAAAATAAAGCTCCATGTAGCAGTAATTCTTCACATAAAAATAATTAGAGGAAGGCAGTTTATCAAAGCAGGACAGCAGTGGAATTTCAGAACTGAGCTCCACAGTCCAGGTGGACAGACCGACAATGTTAGTGGTTTCCGTGAGGAAGTTGCCCTGGGGCGGCAGTTAAGAAAGACTTGATGAAAAAAGCTTCCCCACCACTTTCAATCTTTTTCCAAGATTTTCAAGTGAGAACTTGACTTTTCTTTGATATCTTGATTTGATTGCCTTTGCTACAAGCTAATTTTTCTTCACAAAAATGTTTACATGCCATGTGGCTGTTGCTGATTGAGTGTCTGCTGTTGGAACTAAGTTCTAGAAGACAGAGGAGGCTAACCCCATTCCCAGCTGGCACTGCAGTCAGCCTCTCCTCCCACAGCCAGTCCTCTGCCTCCCAGAGGCCAGGCCCAGAGGAATTCTAGCTCCGATGCCAGGCTGCTGGATAGGGCCTGAGGTGGCCCCATCCATCTGCTCTTTCTTAAGAACAGCTTTTGTTTCAGTCTCCCTGTGAATTGGGCCCAGGCCATTTTGCATTTACATTTCCAAGATTAAGAACAAATTAGGAGGTCAAATCATGTGTGTGTGTGTGTGTGTGTGTGTGTGTGTGTGTGTGTGTGTGTGTGTAGGAGGTGGGAAAGGGAGAATGGTGAGAATGATGTGCTTTCAAACCGTGGTTTAAAAAGCAGGAACCACCAGCAATGTATTAGTCGACTGAAGCTAGACGGACCTGGAGTCTACAACCTGCATGAACCCCTTCCTCCTCCATTTCTGACCAAGCAGCTAAAGACTAATGAAATGATAACTCTCTCTTTACCCTGTTTTCATTTGTCCCTAACTGGCTTCCACACTTTCCCATTTATCCATCTTTGCTGTGTGTCCCCCTGTGGCACCCAGAGCAAGGTGTCCGCAATCTGCTCATAGACATCGCTGCTCATTTTCCCGCTGTAGAGTGCAGAGCTCTGCTGCCTGCGGGCTTCCATCAGTCCCTAGAAGTGGGGGGCACTTACAGCGGCATTAACTCCCCTGGGCTGTCTTGAGAGTGTAGAACACTCCAGCAGCAGTACACTCAGCACCTCTTAGCTGCCCCAAAAGAGACCCGGGCTTCCCTACCTGCCTGCCTTACTTAGCACGAAAGGGGCAGCTCTTAGGGCTGATTGCCCTCCCTAGCTTTGGAGCGCTCTCCCCTTGTCACTGTTGTTAATAAGTTTTTGATCTATCATAGGAAATGATTATACCATTGAGGGACTAGGTAAGAACACACTCTAATGTGTAGCCAGTTGACCATTTAGCAATTAAATGGCTGTGTTCATGTGCCTCGTGTAGTTCAGACTCGTCACTATCCCAGTCACTTCACATGTTACTCTCCTTGCTAGGAAGGACTGATGCCGCCAGCATCACCCAAGAGGGTCTGCCATGACCCATGCATTATGCCTCAGGGGACACAGAGACCTTCTCTTTTGACCGGTGACCTCACTCATTGCCCCAGAACCTGTGGAGCCCGGTTCTCATCCTGCCTCCTGAAGTATGTAAAGCCTTTTCCAAAATGAGGAAGCTCTGAAAGGTGCCCTCCAGAGAAGCCATCAGTTCCTGTTTTTCCCAGAACTCTCAGGATTTTCTCACTACCTGACATTGCTATGACAAAGAAAGAGATTTATCCAGTGGTGTGGAGACACAGAGCACCTGCCCCCCAAAGTAATCAACATTAGTAAAAATAATTCATTTTCCCAAGAGAAAATATCCCCCTAATTTTAAAATTAAAGGCCATGAAAATCAACCAAATTTTATGTTAAATACATATTTTTTCATTTTATATTCACATCAAAAAATATTTATAACCCCATGTTATGACAGGCTATCAGAAGAAAAAGACAAAGGAAAAATTACATAATACTCAGATGAAGGTGCACACATACACAAACACACAGACTCAAGTGGTGCAGAGAGACTTAGACAAGCAACAGAAGAAGTAATGGGAAGCCTATCAGAGGACAACTTTGAAATACCATCATATCTTACTACTTGATTTCATTCTTCCATCTACAAACATCTGCAAAAATTAATAGGAATAAGATAGGATCTTAATGCTTGTTACTACCTATCACCAGATCTCCCACATGTACTCATCCAGCCAAGTTTGCAGATGTGGTTAAAACAGACCCTCTGATGCAGGGAGGGTGCATGGGGCAAGTCAAGAGCAGCCCAGCCTACCCCTCTCTACCTGTAGCATTCCACCACGCTGTATATAGTGTCCATCTGCTGAAATAAGAAAAGAGACATTCATGCAGTGATTTAAAACAAACCAAAAAAAAAAAAAACTGTCTCCTTTCTCACTGGAAAAAAAAAGGCGCAGTTAATCTTAGGCACTTGTGAAGGCAGTAGCGGATGTGCAGTGAGCCTGTCTGTGCATCTGCTAGCTCCTCTTGCTTTGTTTTTCCTTACCAGTATTCTGCCTCACGATTCTTCTGTGATGGTTACACTCCCTCACAAGCACACCCGTGGTTGTGAAAATAATATGGAAAAAAAACAGAACGATCCCCAGCTGTTAATGTACTAGATTTGTGTTATGTCTTTTAAACAGTTCTAGTTTCCACCTGACACTGAATAATCAGGAAATGTATAAAAATTCAGAAGTGAAATAAAAAATTTTATCAGTTAAAAAAGAGATATAATCTTAAGGATCTCAAAACTCAGACTGTTCTATCCAGACCCATTGATCAATCACAGTATCATTGAAGGAGTGACACTTGCAGATTATGTGTCTCCTGATGTGATGCAATAAGAAGACACAGCTCCACCTATGAAATATCGTGCCACAAAATCAAGCCTGATCTTGGGCGGAAAGTACAGAAAAATACAAGAATATTCAGAATTAATTAGATCTCACCACAAGAAAGCAATCAGCCAAATCTGGAATGCAGAAGATAGTATAGGGAAAAACTGTGAAAGAGTAGGGGGACAGTTACTGATTAAGAGATTAAGAGATGTGCTAGTCAATACAGTGTGTCTACTGCACTTAGATTCTGATTTCAACATGTCATCTGTGATGAGATGTTTCAGACAACTGGGGAAATGTGAATATGGACTGAATAGTAAATGATGTTAAGAAATGCTTGTCTATTTTGAGAAATATGCTAGTGAATAGGTCAATAAAAAGAAATTCTTATCAGTTGAATAAGGTTTCTCATCCTCAGTACTATTAAATCTGGGCCAGATAATTCTTTGTAGTGAAGACTGTGCTGTGCGTGTGGGATATTAATTAGCAGCATCTTTGGGCTCTACTCACTAAATGCCAGTAGCACTCCCACCCTGCCGAATTGTGATGCTGATTGGTAAATGTCCCCTGGTTAAAAGTCACTAAGTTAGAGGTGCATAGAGAAGAGTTGATGAATGACTTGCATAATGTCTAGGATTTGCTTTTAAGTACTCTAGCCAAGAAAAGAAATTGTGGTGGATAGGTGAAGCTTCCCTAGCATAGTTTTTATTTTAGTTGAACTGGGTGGTGAGCACATAGGGATTCCTAAAACCATTCTTTCTACTTCTGTGTATGTTTGAGTTGTAAAAATCAACCTGCTAATAAAACTTAAGGTAGAGTTGCCAATAGCCTTACCTTTCAATGCCTCTTCTCAAAGTTGCTTCATTGTCTTCTTTGAAAACTCCTCACAGACAGATTTCCCAATATCTGAAGTAGCATTTCCAGAATTCCTACCTGACATCAAGGGAGCAGGCTCAGCCTGCTTCACTGCTTTACCAATGCATGTGGTTAAAGCCCAAAACCAGAACATATAAGCTAGAAGCAGAGCTGACGTTACAGTAAATATGGTGGCAATCTAGAAATTCCTCCAAACCCCCACTGTTGCTACCACTACAAAGAAAAGCACCTTCCTCTACTGCTTTATCCCCATTCTAGAAGAGGCTCACCTGTTGGATGGACAAATGAACTTTAGGATATTGAATCTTCCTTCTACCTAAAATGTTGTATAGAACTATAAAAATATCACATCACGATCTCATCCTTTTGTCTTTTCAGTTTAAGTCCCTGTTAAACTACAGAGGAGTAGAAGGGGCAGATACATGGGTCATGTCTCTCAAAATGCAGAGAAGTAGAAAAGTGGAGAAAACACAAGAGGAAGACAGGGAGAATTGAGGGCCTCCATCCCCTGAGGGGTGCAGGAGGGAGCAAGATTCACAGGGGGAGGAGGGGTTGCCAGGTGGTACAACTGGAAAATCCATCCCGAGTCATAGAGGCAGTCACTGAACTAAGTTAAAGGAAGAGAATTGCTAGATGGAGATATGGAATAAGTGCAACACATGTTGAGACTCTGCTGGTATGATGCTAACGATTTAGTCAAAGGGGGAAAGGTACCTGAGTGAAATAATCAGAGCACAGTTAGTCGCGAAGATGAATGCCATCCAGCTCCACAGGGCACAGCTGGTACCATCAGAGCTACTACCAGCAGGATGAGACAGCGTTGTGGCTGAGGTAGAAGCAGAAGTCTTCACAGAGGAGAGGAAATTTCAACTGAACCTCAATGATGAATAGGATTTGGATCAGCTAAAATTTTTCTCATGAAAGAAACAATGACAGCAAAACTATTCACAAACATTTAAGTGCCAACTACGTGGCAGACGCTGTGTTGAGGATGGTATTGTATGAAGATACATGAGCCAGAACTCTCACCTTCCGAAAGCCTCGTATAGAATAAGGAATGCACAGAGTCTTTGTCAAACATGTGGGGACAGGAGTGACTGGAGATGGGAGTGTGAGTTCTGAAGAAACAAAGCCAATAGGATGTATGTGTGGAGAAAGAGAGAGAGATTAAGAAATTGGCTCATGTAATTACGGGGGCCAGCAAGTCTGAAATCTGCAGGGGAAGATGGCAGACTGGAGACACAGGGAGGAGTTTATGTGACAGTCTCGAGTCTGAAGGCAGTCTGGAGGCAAAGTTGCTTCTTCCCAGGGGCCTCAATCTATGCTCCGAAGGCCTTCAACTGATTAAGTAAGGCCCACCCACATTATGTAGAATAATCTGTTTCATCCTATTGTCTATTGATTTAAATGTTAATCTAACATAAAAAATACCCTCACAGTAACATTTGGATTGGTGTTTGACCAAATATCTTGGTACTATGGTCTAGCCAAGTTGGCACATGAAATGAATCATTGCAGAATGGAATACAAATTAAGAGACATAGACTGATGGCTAGGTGGTGTGAAAGCCAGACTAGGATGATTCTTGAACAGTCAACCAACAGAATGCTGTAGGAAGAATAGGCTAAGGATGTACTTAGTAGTTTGGAGATATACCCTGTCACCTTTACCCCAAGGCAACCAAAGGCAATCTTTTTACATTATTCCCCAACTGCTGCGTGGTTGACACATCTCTCCCAGGAAACCAAGCCTATACTCTGATCTGTATACCTGATTGCCATGCTCTCATTTGAGAACCAGGAAGCCCAGGTTTCTAGTTTTCCTGTTGCCACAGTCACCTATTAAGACAGTACAAGGCACACCCAAAAGCTATTTTGCATTTTCGAAAGCCTGGATGAATGGAAAGGAAATTTAGTTTTCAATTTTGTATTTTTTAAAGCAATTCATATTTTCTGTTTTAGGTCGAAATAAGTAATAACATCAACTCTGAAATGTGGCTGCTGAACTTGATGTAGGAGGCAAACACCGCAGACAGCACCTCCCTGCATCAATGCGTCTCACTGTTTTCCAGAGGATTGACTACACCCTCCTGCTTTCCCATGAATCCCGGAGGTCTTCAGTCACAACCTACATATTATTAGTATTGTTCACTAGATGAGATGTAGGTGCTGGGGTGGGTATTTTTTTAATCACCTTCTTCTTATATGAATACTTATAAATTGTTAAAAAATTGTTTTTTAATTTTTTAATAATATCTAATGTGAAGCATGCAAAATGAAAATTTCCATGAAAACCTGCTACAGTCAATGCTGAGAGAAACATTGGTTTATATCGCTGAAGTGTTAAGTCAGTATTGCTGAGTGCTGCCGTTATCCTAGGCTTGATGGATTTTGCATTGGCAGACATTACCTGGGGTTATTAGACATGAACTTAGATGCTGTGACATCTCAGAAATGAGTACAACAGTAGATCTGGCCTTCAGGCCAAGTAGAGATCATATTTCCAACCCTGAAAGAAAAAACATGGAGTCCTCCTTTGTTCTTGACTTTCCAAAATCCAGAATAATACTGTTAATCTAAATTTTCAGATTCGTGCATATTATCTTGTTCTTCCTGTGTGTTCTGAAAAATATTTATCAAGGGCATATGAAAGAGTGAAATGATTAGTAGAATATTTTTGCCCTTTGGAGGGAAGATGGTATCTCTGAGTTTCATATTTTCTACTCTTTATCCCAGTCCTGACACTGGTCATACAAACAGTGTATGTAACACCTAAACATACAGCTTGTGGGCTTCTGGGACAGAAATCACAACCATAAATCTGCAACCAGGAAACCAGGAACATTGTTAAGAAATTCAAAAGGAGCATTAAAACAGGGTGCAAATCTCTATAAATGTTTCTAAAAACAATATTTGTATTTGTTCTACATCAACTTCTCTTTCTCCTACTCCATTCCAAAAACCAAGAAAATGACATGGGAAACATAATTTTCCATGGAAAAATGGATTGTTTTGAAAACACATCTCAGCTTTTTCTGTTCATGTCTTTCAATGACTATTTCACATATCAAAATAAGTTTTGCAAACTTTGTATACCAACCAAGGTGAGGCCTCCTGTAAAACTGTGTATAGGTAGTTGTTAAGTTGGCCCATACATCTTTAAGAAGTCAGTCTATAAACCATCTAGAATTTTATGCAGATTTTTGTATGTGTGTAGAGGTTCCTTTTTTCTTCTTTTTTGGAGTCCATGTATTTTATGAGAGTCTGCTAAGAATCAGAACTTATGCAGCAAAGTCTGCCTTGCTTCCTCCCACTTGATGACAAGCACTGTGGTCCCTCTGGAGGCCTGTTTGACTCACCTTATGCCCCCTCAGTCAACTGGCACCCACTGGATCCCATCACTTTCATCTGCTGACTAAGCTCAAATTCAAAAGGAAGAGGAGCTAGCAGGGACCTGGGAGATAGTCAAACCCAAGCCACCTTTGCACAGCTGAGGGGGCTGAAGCCTAGGGGAACTGGTGGATTTGTCCAGAGTTCTGCATGTAGACAGAAAACAAAGCAAGGAGATCCTACAGGGCAAAAGGAACTTGGGTTTCAGGTCCATCCATCACTGTGGCCTTGGACAGTGTTGGACATCTCGGCCCTGGAAATTTCCTCATCTAGAGTAGAACTGCAATCTGTACCTCCCAGGGTGAAGTGAAGATCAGATGACAATGTAGAGAATACTCTGTAAACTGTGAAGCACTCCACAGTGATAATGACAGCTATCACTGTAATGTCTGAACAATGAGTTGGACCCTGTCTGGAGCTCTTGCTGTACACCCTAAAGCTGTGAAAAGACCACAGAAACACCAACCTCTTCTAAGTTTCCTAAAAAGTAGCTTGGAAAACTTGCCCATGTTTCAGCAATTAGAAATAATGCAGACTAAAAATTGCATTTCTAAAAAAGAAAAACTCATATTCAAATTCCAAGATTAATACATAATAGTATTATTAGAGAAAGCTAATAGAATATACAAAACCTAGAAAATCAGTAAGGCAGAATAAAAGTAGTATTTAAATATTCAAAAGTGCCATTTCATTACTTCCCCATGTACAAAGAAGAAGTTAACATTTCACAAAATAGTACCATACTAATTTTTGTTACTGTTTTACCTTCATGTAAATTTATACATGCTTCCAAGATGCACTGCAGAGTCCTAGATCTTGTTTAACTGAGGGTAACAAATTTGAGGAGGAATTCCTTACATTAGTGATTTTTCTATGATATTCAATATAGGCAACTACTTAATGTGGAATGTTTAAGTTTTTAATCTTTCATTTAAATAAATTATAACGGTTTCAATCCCCAACCCCAGTAATCCATTATGATCATTTTGAAGTTCCACAAAATTTGACCCACATCAGAAACAAGTGAGATACACCTCCGACTCATTTCCCTCCCACTGTCTTCTCCCTGCCTCTCCTCTCCCTGGCTTCTTGTTAGAGGCTCTGCCTACTTATGACAGAGGGATGGAAAGAAGCACAGCACTGTGCAGTCACACTCAGCAGTCACCCTGTGACCTGGGTAACTCCAGCGCAAGACCGTCACCACTCCTGCTCCTTAGGAGCGAGCATTTCCAGCTCTGGCAGCTTTTGCCTCCTGTTTTAGGGAATCTGCTCTGCACTGTGCCTCATACAGAAAGGCTTTCAACAAAAGTGAACTCTATCTCCGTTCTTGCCAAATCTCGGCTCCTCTGTATGCAAGTGTATGACTGGTCAGAGTGAGGGAAGATGAATGCATCTCTTAGCCTGTACCAGTTTCCAGAATCTCAGCATCCTAATAGATGGTGTAGCTCCAGGGTCAAGTAGTTTTCTGAGAAGTGATCCTGGGAAAGCTGAAGATCAGACATCCACTGCACGTTAGCCACTAGTGCTGACTGAAGTGTACAAGGGGAACTTAAATCCAATGTTTTTTTTGTTCCTCTTTGAACCATTATGTCCTGTAAATCTTGGCCAACCCTGCCCCAGCTCGTCTTCTGTCTTTCATAGATGACCTACCCTTTCTTAAGTCTTCTGCTAACATTGTGTGGAGCCATAGTTAGCTGGGATGTTTTCCCACTTACCTTCTATTTATTTCAGCTTCCATTCATGTTTCAAAGCAGCGGAAGTCAAGCAGGGGAGTTACAGGGTGCAGGGTTTAGAGAATCCCCAGGAACAGAATATGTCTTGCCCATGGAACAGTCTACATCAGAGAAATCTCAAACATCTCTCGGGAAAAGCACTAAGTTAGTCCATTCCCAAGTATCTTAGCATTTTACCTGCCATGTAATGTGAGGGTTGTGTCCATATGTCCATACCACTCCAAATCTGAAGGGCTATTTGCTCACTTGTTTTGAAGATAACTTGATGTCTTGCCTAGAAAAACACTGACTTCTTTCTTTTTTCTTTTAGAAAGTACGTCCCACTATTTTCTGTAGACCTAAATAAGGGAGGTGGCCAGCTTCAAGGAGCTGGAGCTAACAAATGTAACAAGGCTGCCATCTGTCTCAATGAATGGGACACTCATGATTGAGAAGAATTTGTCTTCATTAGAATCAGTTAAAAAGTGCATTGCAAAGCTGAGGAAAACCATCAAGACGCTGCTAAATTAAAAAGCAGATAAAAACCAAAAATGCTCTTTGCAACCATTGCAAATCAGCAAGGAATCTTGTCAAGAATAAACAGATCTTCATTTTAGACATACATATATAGAATGTATAGTATCCTAAAGTGTGGACTCACTATGGAGTCTGACTTATTACTTCTGAGTTACTTTAGTATGTAACTTGGGGAACTTTTATAGTTGATTAGAATTCAGATGTTCTAACTTGACATTTTGGCCCAAGGTAGTAGTTCCTTTCAAGGCAAAAGTGAATTAAGTGGTAAAAAATACAAATAATTGATCTTGAAAACTTGAATATCTTTTTCTTCTTATGTCCTCCCCTTTAAGAGTCATCTAAAACCTTTGCTCGATAGGAAATCTGTGCAAGTGTCTATAAATCCTGTTAAAATATTTGTGATCAATAGGCCCACAACTTAAGGCCCACAACTTATGTCCAAAAGTAGAACTGATAAAGGAAATTACTGCTTATGTAACTGCACAGTGTGCAATGCAGAAAGGAAGTAGAAGTATTTTAAGTATTAGGAGAATGTATTTCTTAATAAAGAATCCTCAAAAAAAACAGATTTCTACAAAAATTAACAATTTGTAACATTTATTTTTTCATCTTGATAAAATTTAATTTATTTATTGAGGGTGAAGAAAAAATGCCATTTCTAGAAGGTGGAAAAAGTTTCTTAAATACTGAATGAAATGTGGAAAAATGTGATGACAGGTAAAAAATGAATCACCTTCCTTAGACTTGCAGGCATACAAAAGGCAAAGATCATGTTAAATGATAAACATTTTAAAAATAAAATATTCAAAAAAATCCAAAATATGCTTTGGCTTGAACTTGAGAGTTAATTTATATACAAAGAAGAAAAAGAAAGAAGGTAAAAAGGAAGGAAAGGAGAAAAGAAAAGAAAGAACAGGAGGAAGGAAAATGAAGGAAAGAAGGCTCTAAAATTGAGTCTATCTAATTTGAATTTGGACAGGTCAATCCTTAACTCAGAGTTGTTCTTCTTTGAGTGACTAAAAACAATGATCTATTTTAAATTTAGGACCTGCTTTTCCTTTCCTCTCCAGAGCTAAGTGTTTTAAAAGAGTTTAGAGAAACCAATGATCTATCTGGTCATAGAACTTGCTTTGGGGGACAACCTTGTCAGTCTATATTATTTAGGAACAGGTCTATCTACAAGTGACAAAACAAAGAAACTAATGGTGGCTTAAATAAGACAGAGGCCTATATCCTTTCATATTTCAAAGTTCTGGAGGTAGTGAGTAAAGAGCTAGACGAGTTCCCTAGAGATGGAGACCAGGCTCACTCTCTTTGTTGCTTCATTAAGTGATTCTCAAGATCATAACATAACTCATGGTGGCTGCCAAAGTTCCAGCCTTTGCTTTTGTATTCCAGCCAAAAAGGAAGAAAACAGACAGAGAAGGGTGCTTTTTAAGGACATGTCTCAGAAATTGCACAAACTGTTTCCATTTATACCCCATTAGCCAAAACTGGGCCCATCCCAAATATAGCTGCAAGGAAAGCTGGGAAGCATAGTTTTTATTCTTAGCCTTGTGCCTATCTAAAAATTAAGGGGTTCATTTCTTAATACAAAAGGGAAATGTGTGGTAAAAATGCTTAGCAATCTCTGCCATACAGTTCAAACTAGTTGGCATGATTTTTGAGGAATAATGTTTTCATTTACTTTAATTGCAATACATTACAGAAAAAAATACATATATCCTTCAATACTGTGAGGAATTATACATCCACTCTGTGAAATGAGAATTTCTACCTCATCTTTCTGCCTTTCTTCTTAGGAAGAAAAATATAAATCTACGATGCAAGATCCTCTGTGTTTCCCATAATTCTGCAGAGTATATTTTAACTTTCCTGCTCTGGAAATTGAGTTTAAAATTCAAGAGCCAATCTAATGTATTGCTTGATTTTCACTGTTCTGCTACAAAAATAAATTAATTCTTTTATGGTCATAAGCCTTCAACTATTTCGTTTGGCAGCAATTTGTCTTCTGAATTGATTAGTAGTGTCATCATTTTCTTTTTATTCAGTTCAACAAATATGTAATAAACATTGGTGCTTAGGAAAGTGGGACAGAACACATAAGTGGAATGCATATGATCCTTCCTTTTCTATTATTTTCTTTCAGTAAAATTTGGTTCTGTGTTTCTCTTCATCTGCTTTTCTTCCAGAACCAGTATCAATTAGAGTGGAATGAGTATTTTAAATTATTTGATAGTCTGTTTCTCTAAGAAAAAAACATAATGAGAGATATCATAAAGTTCTTTTATAATTAGATTTCATGGTACATTCCTCCCAGGCTCTTCAGTGTGTGTGTGTGTGTGTGTGTGTGTGTGTGTGTGTGTGTGTGTGTG